TATATATGTTTCAAATTTAGTGGTGAGTGCGCTGAAGTTTATAATTTATATGTTACAGTTTTGTACAAACATGTAATAAATAAATTAGGTGAAGACAAGCAGTGTACTAATTGCATGCAGTAAAGCATACTCACCCATAGGAGGCAAACCTTCGGATAAATTGCCCATTTCTGAGTGCAGCCATTAAAAGAGGTGAAGTAAAAAAATATATATAAGATGCAGGCATTCAAGCAGGCAAATATAAAATAAAACTAAAACTAAAACATGACATTGAAATACAAAAAACAAACACTTCAACACATAGCAAATTTAAAATTTAGATACATACAAATAATTTTCAAAAAGTTTAACTTATTTACTATACATACTACTAATGTAATTAGATATTTTTTCATTTTTATACATAAATAAAAATTTATGGTGACATAGAATACTGTGTGTAGTATGGAATTTTACCATTTTGGTCGTAAGTCATAACTAGCTACCGGGTGCCTTAAAAATCAGAGAAAATTTTAAGATTACCCATACAAAAAATGTACGGCTTGCTGCTTTCTGCTTAAGAAACGAGGTTACTCATTATTAATTAATTTCAAAACTAACCATATATTTTGGCTTCTGATTTGATTTTTTTTTTGATGCATGTCAGACTATTTCAAATTTAAACAACGATGCTAGCGCAATTTTGCACCTAAACCTGTTTATTTAATCCTTAGACGGAGCAATTTTGTAGATAGAATTGGGATACATTATTTTTATAGATTTTACCAACTAGCAGTGCCATCTGTTGACCAACTTTGTTACTAATTTTAGAAACTTGATGAGAAAAAAATGTTCTGATTCCCAAACAGAGCTGTGCAACTCAATTTCTGTAATTGGATTTGAATCGATTACTTATGGGTAATTAGATAACAGTAATCGCCTCCAACTCGAGTCTACTGAGCACAAGAGAGTATAAAATTAGTAACCTCCAAGTGTTTGAGTTGAATAATCGTGCGTCTGATTATCGATTTTCTGAACTTTTAAGATATATCGGTTCATACGGTTATTTTTTTCCCGTTCACATTTTATCAAACTGCTATTTTCTGTTTTAACTGTTGCTTAAACTGTTTTTTTTTCTTCAAGAAGTAGGTGACCTAAAGGAACATTGATACAAATACATGTATTATTGCAATTTTCAATTCTTCTATTTTTTTTTATCCCGAGATATTATTTTGAGGCACATCATACTCGAGATGGAGGTGTTTAAAATCTGCAACCCTCAAGGTACTGGTATAATTTTCCTGTTTTTCTCGTGTTTCAAAATTGTGATTTTTAGTTGCAATGACAAAAAGTTGGGCTCATTTCTAACATGTTTAGGCAATAATGTTTACAACTTTATTAGGGTTGGTATGTTAATCAAATTCACGAGTAGCTATTAACCCAGGTTCTGCACTGAAATTTCAATATAAAAATAATGATAATAAAATTAAGAGTAAATAGTCAAATATTACGGTTTAATTTGCAAAAAAATAATTTTGTCTTAAACGAATAGCATTTAAATTTATCTTCCATTTACTAGCATGCTTGAGCTCTGTTGAATTTACTTCGTATTTTTTTGCATTTTACAATTATAATAGTTGTTAATAAATACAATTAGAATAATTACGTTCCATGCCAAATTTTAAAGATGTGTTTTTAATTTTACTCCATAGTTGATTTTGTAAACTACTAGCAGTATTAATTTCGTTTTTTAGTTTATTTTATACAGACACTGTTTTGTATATTTATTTGATCAATGCAATGAATAGCGTTATCATCATATTTGGCTCAGTTAAAGGTGAAATAAAAGTTTATTCAATGAAATGAAATTAGTTGTAATAAAATACTAATCATAGATTAATAAGTGTTTTATTTATTAATAATTAAAAAAAATTCAATAAAATATAATTATTGTTCACAATTAATCAAAATTGCAATTGCATAATTTATAATAAGTTCAAAATTTGCTTTGCTCGTTACTGACTTACTAAAATTTACTTGTTATTCAATGAGTATTTAAAAATATATAAAATGTGTAAGTAATGTCAGCTTCTAGTATGTAAGTTTAGAATTCTTGTCAAAAATAAGGTGTTAAAGGTTGTGTGTTAGGGATCGCAAAATAATATTTAATAATAGCCTTATCGAAATCTAACGGATTACTACAGGAAACATCAAAACCTCGGTGATTGCCTAAAGAAATAAGAGAGAAATTGTAAGACAATAATTAAGAACCTCAACAAGTTTCATCACGCACTCAAATTGGTTTTGATGTATTTCATCCCATCTTCCTAGATAGTGATTTTATAGAATTCGATTGTGTTTCAGTTTCTTTTCTTCTCAGAAATATTAATCTATAACACCTAATGTATTTGCTTTTTTAACTTAATATTGGAAAAGGTTTAAAAAATATTTTGATTAAGGGTGGTTATTATGAGACACATTGCATATGCAAAAAGTAACACCTGTGACATTTTAATTAGTGTTTTTCAAGTCGTTTTGAATGTTTACGAAACAGTACTTTAAAAAGTTTACATTTAAAAACAGAAAATACTCAGAGACGTCTTGTTGATCTGATTATACAATGAAATGAATTCATTTACAAAACAATAAATAACTACAAGTCAACAACAACACAATGAAAAACATGCGTCATATTTACATTCATGAAACAACCACTACATGACATCAATTCTATCATCATAACAGCCATGCAAAACCCAACAATATGTGTCGATCATACACATTCAACAATGCACATGCATAAACAATGTTTGAAACAAAGAATTCAATAAATTAAAATAATGAAAAATATTTATTTATCATTAATCATTTTTTTCGCGCGTATGAAACTAATATACACATGTGACTAACATTATTATTGAAATTGTCAAAAATGAATGATGAAATGATTCTCCGTTTTCAATAAACGCACAACTTTAATAACCAAGCTTTTTCTAAATTTTGCTAGACTGACCCTTTTTTGGAAGGAAAAAGACAAGTTATAAAATTATATTCAAATTGATATGGTGAGTGTGACAAATATTATATATTTTCATCGAGGAAACGTGTTTACCAATTTGAATTTTAGAAATATAATTTTCTAGCATTTAGTATAGTAATGTAATAATGTTTATTATTCAACCTGTAAGGACTTGCTTAATTAATACATGATTCATTATGATTAAAATAGCTTGTACTAGTGCCCCAAAATGACCAATGATTAGAAAATTCAATTAAAAAATAAATGAATAAAAATGCTGGAAGATAAAAATGTTGAATGAGGAATGTTTTGCTGACATATCATATCCTTTGACATATCATTTTAAAACTCTAAACTGTGCGGAATTATTAATTTCTTGATATAGAAATGATCTTTGATTGCACTGTAAACTACAACTCGTAACGGAATGCTGACAGATGCCAACTGCTCCGGGCACGCCGAAATAATTAAGAAACGGTAAATAACTACTAACTAAATTTTTCGAATATTTGACTATCTTCGCTCGCTTTTTAAAAGGTATAACATGACATGACATGACATGACATAACTATTATAAAGTGGCGAATTATATTAGCCTATGAATTAATTAGAAATAATGGATAAAAATCTACTAAATTGAATTTATTAAACCAAGAATCACAATTGATAAACTACCACTTTAAAATATATATTTGCTGTCTGGAGCAAGTTGGCATCTCTGTGATGAAGACGTCTGAGACACGTCAATTATTGTTTTGACATAAGAAACAAAGGACGTCTCCCAGACGTCTTCGTATGTCAAGGGATAAAGTAATAAAAACCCTGTGCAAAATGGAGAGCGAAGTAAATAAAAAAAATCTACTAAGTTTAAATTATTAAAATTAAGAGAACCAGGACAATTTGTGAGGAATTTAAGATGTTTTGTGGCTTTTGGCACAAGGAATATTATGAATGATAATTTTATGGAGCCTCCAGCAAAAATAACTGTAGTGTACTGAATTTTTTTTATTGTAGGTGACTTAGTAAATCTACTTGGAATGGAGTGCTGTGACGTAGATTACTTATGTCACTGTATAATGAATCTCTGATTCTAAATTAAATGCTTAATTCATTTATTAAAAACAGAATTGGATGGGTTAAAACATTTCGCAGAATTTATTCTTTAGGGCATTATATAAAATCAATTTTTCTCTAAAAATATGAATAAGTTCAAGGAACCAATTGAAAACTAATAGGAAAGGCCGATTTTGTTACAGTGTATATATTTCATACTATACAACAATATGTATTATGTAACAACTTAATATAACTTCGTTGCAGAATAAAATGTGCTCTTACCTTTTGGATAACTGCTATGCTTGACTTTAAAATGACTGTGTACCATCTGTATTTCTTTTGTTCGTTCTAAATCAGATGCTCTCAGTTCTCTATTCACAACAAGATGACGATCAAGAATCTGTTTATAAAATGAAAAATAAAATATTTGTAACAATACCTTTATATTTCTTGGCAACAAATCATTTATTTTCCAAAAACAACGTTTTAACACAAAATGCAAGAGAAGCTTAGTTCTTTTTACATAGCATCTCGTATGTTCTGTAGCCACTACGCAGAACAATCTCTGTTCTCTTGGAACTTGCGCAGAACAATCTCTGTCCTCTCTAAACTTGTGCAGAACAATCTCTGTTCTCTTTAAACTTGTGCAGAACAATCTCTGTTCTTTCTGAACTTGCGCAGAACATACAAACGAGAACATGCAAGATGCTACGAGGGAATTTTAATCTTCTCTAATAAGCCGCTACAATATTTATGCTTAAGTCTTGCTGCATCAAGTATATTTTTCGAAAGTAAATATTTTACAGTCAAGCCTGATAAGATAAGCCTTAGTTTTAGGAAGATTAATAGCAAATATGACAGCAAACTGTTTTCTATGTGAATTCATTGCAGCCTTAGCAATTCCAATAGTTTTTCGAATTTTATTTTTACAAAACAATTTGGTAAAAAGTATAAATATTACAATGGTCGGAAGAGCTACATTTTTCGTAGTTAACTATAACTAAAACTATTTTATTGCAAATGCTGTAAGTTAAAGAAGAACATTTCATATCAACTTTTCTTTCATAAGAAATATACTCACCGAAACTACCACTAATTATTAATAAGTGAAATATATATTATTATTATTATTGTATCCGCACCTTGCAAAAGATGGTGCATGACATCCCCTCTCCCTCCAACTTATTCCCGACTCACTTATTTTCCCATAGTCGACCTATCGTCTCAGACGAATCAGTTGACCCTTTCCTTCTCGCTCCCGTGAAAATGTCGGAGTGAGGTTTTGCTCTCTATTTCTCGATCCCGTGATATTGACGGGCTTGAGTGTTCAGTAGTACCGCACCAATAAGAATAAAACTAATTCATTTCTTTTGCCCGGAAAACATTTTATTTCTCATTTTACACACCAGATGGCAGTACCAGGATATTTTTAAGGTAATTGTAAATAGTTAGTTTATTTTAAACTAGATGTCAGCATTAATCAAATACGTAATACAAATACAAAAGTCAAAAAAATAGGCACTTTCATGACCGTTTTCTTGAAAACTAACCGATCGTTAAGAGGTTAAGAGATATTCACTATGTTCTAATGTTCCTTGCAAGAGCTGAGTAGCATTAGTCACAAAAAGTTTACTTCGGCTGGAAGAAAGGTAAAATTGAAATGTCCTTTTTAGCGGCTTATTTTTATTATCCTTTCTGATGAAATATCAGGACTGGATTTTGTCAAGCGTTAAAAGCTGAGGCGTGGTAGCTCAGGAATAGAACGTTCACATCCTAATGAGGTGAAATGGTTTTAATCCTAGCGATGGCTGGCTTATACGCATTCCGCGTCCGGCTCGCACCCAACACATTGCTGACGTAAAATATCCTCAGTGGTAGATGGATCATTGGTTAGAGTCCCCTTGCTGTCAGGCTAACAGTGTAAGGTTTTCGTGGTTTTCTTTTCCATGTAACGCAATCGCGGTTTAGCTTCATCAAAAAGTTCTCCACGAAGGCAAATGTCTCTCAATACTTGATCCAGGAGTTCCCTTGTCTTCTGAATTGGGTTCAAATTACAAGGCTACGGAGTTGAACATTAGTAGTCGTAAACGCAAAATCTGGTTGACTGTTTAACGTCGGTTATCAAAAGGTGTTAAAAGCATTCCACATCAGCTTTAATGAAGCTCTGTGATCTATTTTTAGATTCAAATATAAATATTTATATTCTTAATATGCTATGGTAAACAGAACTATATTTGTTTTGTAAAATATATCCTAATAATATAAAGCTTATGTTGCCACTTTTCTCCTTTTTTTTTAAAAAAAAAAAAGAAATATCGTTTTTAAAAGGACGCTAGGAATAAATTAGTTAATAGTATTATTAATAACAGACTTTCGTGGAGAAATCGAAGCTTAATTATATTAGCCATTACTCTAGCTAGATTCATTTTTAAACATAAAGCTAAATGGTTTGCTTCTTTAAGAAGAATTACATTCTTTGAAAACTTATGTTTAAGCTTTATTAAGGGAAAATAATCATGAACCAAAACAGTTCTGAGTTTTAGCATTAAATAAGTTCTCGCAAACAATGCAGAAAAAAAGTTTAAAGTAAATATTCCATTAGCCATTAGTAATCCAAATATAGAACGTCGATGACATTTTAAATTAGGTTTTAGAACAGTTGCGGGTTTTTTTCTAGCAATTAAAGTCTGCGTATTTTGAAAATCAGTCGAAAGTTTATAATTACTTTACTGGCAATTTAAGAAATTCTAATTGGAATTTTATTTGCATACAGACTTTAACAAAATCTTTAAGCATTTAAATAATTAAAAATTTATTTACATTCGACAATTTAAAGAGAAGATTCTAAAATATGTGTCATGTAAAATATTTTATGATGCAAATTAAAATTTCCTGCTTACGTATATGCCATGTTAGAAGTCCTATTTCCCGACAATAATATTATAATAAATGGTAGCAATAAAACAGTTAACGCTACGATTTACATGATTAATTTTTCCTTAACTATAATATTATGAAGTTTTATGTTTTTGTTGAAATTGTTTATATTTTATGGTAATCGAAATCGATGCAAATCAAATTTGTTAAATCAAAAATAAAGTGCTATGGCATAAAATTTATGATCGCTTTAAATATCCAAGAAAGATCTCCTGCTAAAAGCGGGAGAAGTTGGAAGATATGAGTATAGTATATTCTTTTTAATGACTATCGATGAATCTACATTCTCAGAAATATCGGGTAAGCATAAGCATTTAAGGCGAAAAACGGTTGAGGACCAAAGAATATACTTGAATGGTCCAGGTAGAACTTGGCAAGGGTGGCGACTTTGGACAATAGAGAATGGAGAACAAAACTCAGTAGCTCATGCACCAATCCAGGCATAATCAGAACTACGATGATGATATTTATCAGACATTTGTATTAGAAACAATTAAAATAATTCTCCTCCTCCCTCCAAATCGAATTCATAGGTTATCGAATATTGAATACTAGAGACCATTCAACAAAAGAATCAGTTGGAATGGTTTAATAATTTTTTTCTTTTTTAAAAAGAGAGTCAAAGAGTTTTCTTTTGGATTGCAAATGCAATGATCTGCAGCAATGAAGGATTTGTTTAAATAATATAGGATGTCTAAATTTTTCTACAAGTATATTTACCAATTTCCAGAACGGATCTAATAATTTCTAGACTATTCCGTTAGTGCTATGTGGATTACATATCCAGTGTTGTGTGTTTGAAAATAACCTCCATTTGCTGTGTACTTTAAGATACATATTTCTGTTCTTCGCAGTTAAAGTTTCAGAACAACTTTTAAAGTCCTCTCTCGAAATGCTCTTCAAGTTTTTAATTTTTAAACGGCTTTAACGTTTTAAATTTTGCTGACATCTTCACACTTGGTTTCATCAGTGAATTTTTCAGTTTCGGAAATAGAAACACAGTCAGAGTTTATTTTGATCTTTGAATTTCTTTCAAAAGCTAAAGAGGTGAATAATTCGAAACATGCGAGCATATACAGTTAGTACATTTGTAACAATATAGTTCGAAGACTATGGTGAGTATTCATCTCCGTAACTTCCAAAACTAGAAAGTTTTCAAAACGAACAAGGTTTAAAGATGAATCTGGTGATGCTTTAAGAAAAATACGACGTTAAAACTAAAGAGTATTCGAAACTAGGACATGAAAAATTGTTTCTGAAACTTTTACATCCAAGTACATCAGTTGCGAAAAAAAATTTATTTTTGTGACAGAGTCAACATTACTCTCTTTAATCATTATAATTTTCAATAACTTTTGATCTTTAATGATCGAATTTTTACGTAGTACGATTCAATCTTAATGGTTCAAAAGGGGTGACCTTAAATATGCTAATTAGTTGGTGTAGACGTATTTTAAATTACGAAATCAGACACAAAACGTCAGACACGTACTTACCTTGAATAAACATGCCTTTTTCTAGGCGGATTTGGGACACTAAAAATATAGAGAGTAGCCGCAATCTGATAAATATGGTACCAATAGTTTACAGGAGAGCTGTACAACGTTTGTACAATAACAGTCGAAAAGTATAATAATATTCAAAAAAATTTCGAATTGTAAGGCCATTTTTAAAACAATTTTAAAAAATGTAATTTTTGCAGCTCAAAATCAAACATTTTAATGATTTCGAATGATTTTGGAAAAATCGAATCCGTATGTAAGTCAATTAAAAAAAAAAATCGTATATTTAAAATTCGCTATCTCAGACACTATTCAACCGATTCTCAAAATTTTTTTTTTGATATACAAAATTACATTTTTTAAAGTGATGTAAAAACTTTACTTCACAATTCAAAATTTTTTCGATTACAATTAAATGAAATAATGAAAGTAATAAACAATCATTAAGTTTTTTTTTGCCTTGAATTAGTTTTGGATAAAAAAACTTTATAATTGTATGCGAAAATATTTCAATTCATTTAAAATGCTTTCGAGGTAATACAAAATGCGTAAAAAGTAAAATTAAGTCTAAATATTGCACCGCTTACCTGACTAAACTATTGGTACCACATTTGCCAGATTGCGCCTAATTAGAGGGTCATATATGTAAATCGGCCAAAAAATGGTATGTTTATTCAGTACGGTTTTCTGTCTGATTTTATAACTTAAAATGTTGTCGTTTGAGTTAACTAATTAGCATATTTGAGGTCACTCCTTAAACCATTAAGTTTGAGCCCTGGTACGTGAATATCCTGCACAATACATTACGGTAGGTAGAGTTTACTTCGAACATGTTGAAAGGTTGTGTTATTTATGCAATATTTTCAAGAGATAATAAATCAGTCCTGGAAATTAATAGCCGCGTATTGTATTATTCAGCTGATAGTCTTTGAAACTTTTAAAATTTTGATAATCTTTTTGGTTGATTTCGTTTTTAAAGTACTTACTTTATGGACATGGTATGGAAATACTCCCATTGTGAGCTGCTTGAACTCTGTGGGCATTTCATGTTTGAGATGATGCCAAGCTTCGTTTCCCGGTACAAAGAATGTGAACCGTTTATCACTTTCATCCAGTAGTGCGCACCAATCATCTTGCTCACACATTTGATACGTGATGCTAAAAATAGAGTTAGTTTTTAGTTATATTAGTGTAATACAATGACTGACCACAATGATAAATTGAAGGACAAAAAAATGTAAGGTTATATATAGTGGATATTTTTTTGTTTAGCAATCTCTTTAATTCGAAAAAATCAAGTTAGGACTGTTTCTGAAGTATATACCTTTTTTTTTAAGAAAAAAATATTTGTTTTTATGACGAAAGTGCGTATATAACTTTTTTAAGAAACAAATTAACGCGAAAAAATGCCACCATTTTTTAAACTTTTTTTTCAATATTTTAAATGCAAAAATGACTATTTAATGTTTCTTAATAACATAAAAAAATTATCACTAGGTTTGATTGCTTGAAATCACGAGATTAAGTAGCATTTAAGGGGGAACCCCACCCAGAATACTTCAAAAATTCGAATCTTTGTACCCTTCTTAATGTCTGCCTAAAACGATTTCTCGGTACCTAACTTCGTTTGGAAATTATACAGGAAAATAGAGAGTCGTCGCTAAGCAGGTAGAAAGGCCCGCTCAGCCAGATTAGGAGGGGCGACATTCGTTTTGTGTCTCATCCATTCTGTTGACTGTATATAGAAACTTATTGTAGGCATTTCCTTTATCGACCATTATATATATGAAATTAAACGTTTTCCCCTACCATAAGTCAAAACTTTAAACACGTTTTTCTCATAACGCTGTTTTTTGACCTGATCTAACGTTTTTCTCATGATTTATATAATCAAATAAACTGTTCTTTATTTTGAATTACGTAATAAAATATTTTTTAGAAAGTAGCGTAAGATAATTTTGATATTTTTATATTTCGATTTTATATTGGTATTTTAATGAATATTTTTTTAATGAAAAACTTAGCTTTTTTCTTAAGTTACCGCCATTTTGGTAATTTTGCAAATATCAAAAAGATAATGTCCTTTTTAGATAATGTCCTTATGTTTCAGAAAATCTAAGCAAAATCGTTTTCCTATGCTTCAGGACTTCTAAATTCATGAGGCCAGTGAGGTGCTACTCTTTGATGACCAGCCACACGCGGAGCTGCCACCAACTTATTTTTTATTATTTTGCAAATTTTTTTTTTTAAAATAGACTTAAATTGTAGCTAAATAACATAAAAAAGCAAGGAATCTATGCATTGTCTCTATTACATAAAAAAAATTTAAGAAAAACGTTTATATTTTACCATCTTAGGGGAGTCCCCCTTAATACACAAAAACTGTTCAGTATTCAGAGCCCAAGCTAAGGATTTCAAATTAGCCAGTAAATTAAACAAATATCAAAAGCATTCGTCAATTTTCGAAAGTCTTCCACCAAATGCAAATCTTAAAAAAAAATTTTATGATTATTTTTTGGCAAATATTTACTTTTTGGCTTCAGGTTCGGTTAATAGTTAATTTAGTTATGTCATAACATGAAGAATTGACTAGTTATTCATTGTTAATGCATAAGCACTTTATTGTAGGAATCTATTATTTCATCTTCTGTAAATATTGTACTTGGATTCCTAGGACAGCTGTTCCCAAGTGGTGTTCCGTGGAAACCTAGGGTTCCGCGGAAGAATTAAAGAGGTTCCGCGAGTTAGTACTTTTTATGACCACTGAAGAGACCTCTGATTATATTTGGATTCAATCAATAATTCATAATTTATTTAGTCTTTCTGTAGCCTTTATGAAATTATATCAAGTGAAATGTTAATGCATTGAAAATGGCATTTTTTAAAAGTAAATATAATACTTCCAATAACAATATATGGAATAAATTATGAAAAGAACAGAATTATGAAAATAACAAACATTTATGAAATATTGCATTCTTATTTCCTATTGCTCTTTTCAAATCAAAATAAAATAACAAAATTCATTAATGAACAACTATGTGTTTCTCAAATAGCCATTTTCAATGTTTATAGCAGCTCTTTTAAGTTTTCATTACGAAATAAACCATAATTCGACTTATTTTGTTCAATTTCAACATATGTATATAGTAGACTAGATATAGCAAAAGACAAATTCATAACTAGACTAGACATAGCAATTGACAAATCAATCGACAAATCAATTATCGATAATCGATGTCAATAATCGACTATCGACAAATTTAACTATCGGACGCAAAACCTAATTTAGATTAATGATAAAACGATGAAAAATCTTCATTCTTCTAACTTATAGTCTTCTATAGGCTAACCTTATGAAATTACTTTAATAAACTTTATATATAAAGTGGAGGTTCCGTAGAAAGAAAGTCGATTATTTAGGGTCCTGTAGAAGAACACTTTAATTAATGGTAACAAAAATAAAACAAAGTTCACAGTATTTAATAAACTTGAGATCATCAGTTTACGTTAGTTTGCAAAGAAAATAATTTATCAGTAAAAAACTGTGCTCAACCATGCATCTATAAACAGTGGTTTTTTAAAAAAAGAACTTTTTGTTAGCATTAACGAATATTTACTACCACTAAAAGATTCCGTTAATAAATTACAAATCAACAGTAGGCCCACACCTCCTTCTCCACACTAGCTCTGTCGAATCCAGTACCTCCATTAATTCTTTTAAACCCATTATTAGTTGATTAAAAGGAAGGCAAATGAAATATGACGATTAAAATATTTAATAAGAATGTTCCTTCATAATATAATAACTCTTACTATTCAAAATGATGAATAAAAATAGTCTGAAATTGAAATTAAAGCAAAAATTAATAACATTTTTCCACCACAAAAATATTGTTTTTAAATTTGTTAATTAGCAGTCAACTGATTTGTTACGCAATCACGTATGAAAGTGTAACACAGTTTTGTCAATCTACCAATAATTACTAATGAATTTCGAGTTATAACAGAAATATTCCATTTGTATACACTATTCTCATGTCTCATGAAATAAATTATTGCAAACACATTACAATTAATTTTCTTAGGTCCCAATAAAAATTTGTCTTAAGTTTAATATTATTTTATTAAAAGGATGTATATATTTTTACGAAGACAGAAAGTATATACTTTAAAATAAAAGCTTAGCTTCGAGGTTTAGTATTCAAAGTGGATCTTTTTTATACTTTTTAATTTTATAACAGAAAATGAACAAAGAAAAATGTTAAGTATCTGATAATGTATTATAATATATATTATTTGGTGTTATTTTTTATATTGATCCTTGATCCTGTTTTTAAAAGAAAAAAAATTGCCATTGCTATAACTTTTAATTTCTTTATGCCATGTTTATTTTTTTTTCAATTTAGAATAGTTCTTTTTAGGAATGAACTAAAAGATTAATAATTTCGTGTTCTGACTTATAAATTAGAACGCAAGAGATCAAAAATTTTTTTCAACTACTGTTGTCAGTAATTAATTTCTAGCAATTTTTTATAAACAAACTCTAGCATGAAAAATTAATTTCTACTACCTTCTTCAAAACTGTGGTAATTTGTTAAGCTAATTAAATTCGAACCGTTTTTTCTACTATGAAAATAATCTCCATTTCGTGTTATTAATAAATTAATTATTGGTAAAGTCCTCCTCTAGATGCGGGGAAATATTTAAGAAGCTTAAATAATGCCTTGAAAAATAATTATCTTAAACCCAGCTTACAGATATTTATTTTTAATTGCGACTTAAATTTTTTTATATTAAATACTTTATTGAAGTTTACAGGTTTATTGTTTTGAAATAAGAAGAAAAGTACAAACCTATAAATTAATTCTTGTGGCAAGTGGCATTAAGTTTTATTTTTCTTAATGGGAAGTTTTAAAATAAGAAGTGATACAAGAAATAAGAATTATTTTTTTCCTGTTCATTATTTAATTGATACAGTAAGAGCAGTGACAAAAGTTTATTGTCCCAACTGTGACCAGGATACTATACATACTTATTACATGTTTTATTTGATTTACCTTCCTTTTAATTAATCAAAAATAAATTTGAACTAACTAATATGACTCCAAATTATGTATAAGGCAGGTATTTTTATAACCAGCTCAAACTAATTTCAAAAATTTATTGGTACAATGCTCAAAATAAAAAAGATTTTATTCCGAATAATTTTTCTAGTGATTGGATTTTTACAGACTAAGTATATATCACCTATCATAATGGTTCTAACATCAAATATATTAATGAAATTAATTAGTGATAATAATTTATTTAACAATAGAATTAGATACGTAAACTTACTTTTGCTAAATAAACATGTCCCTTTTTTCATCGAATTAGTATGTTTATTTCAGTACGACGTGTAGCTCTATCAGGAAAATATAGTTCTGGTAGTTTAGTCAGGGTATTGAGGTATTGATTTGTTATGGGAACTTGGAAGACTTCACGTCCCCGGCAGATTTAACGTGCATCAGTCACCATTTACTACACACACACCAACATTTAACACCGCGCCTATGCCCCTAAAAGGGCATTTATCGGTTAACGGTTAAGGTTGGAAGACGAGACAGATAGAAAAAAGAGAGGAAAAAATAGCAAATAGAAACGAAAAAGAGAAGAAAATAAAAAGAAATATGAAAAAAAAAAGAAAAAAAAGAAGCGATTATTCAATTTGTTAGGGCATTTGATTAAAAAGTATCCAGAGCTAATTGGCCAAGTTTAATTGTGGTTGTTGCTCAATATTGCATAGTTTTGTCATTTTTTTATGAAAATTATTTCAGGATTTCCTCGTATTCTTCTAGAAAATTAATGAGGTTGGTTGCCTTCTGTTTCAACTTTGTATTCTTACAGATGGATCTCTTCCAGGCTATGAGGAATTCTAGCTTCGGTTGTTTAAAGTGGTAGGATGTGGTAAGCGGACATTCTATTGCATAATGCCACACTGTTCCTACTCCTCCACAGGCACATGTATTGTGAGTTGCCAGGCAGAATCGCTTTAGATACGCTTTAAAGGGGCCATGCTCTGTAAAGAAGAGGATTAGCTGCTTAACAAAGAAGTGCAAGGGATAACGTTTAACGTAAAAAAAAATCATAAAACTAGTTTCAAAATTACGCATGACTTTGCCTACGAAATAACCTTTTCTTTGTCAACGAAATGGCCTTGTCAATGAAATGATCCCGTCGACGAAATGATCTTGCCGATGAAATGACCTAGTTGGCGTAATATCGATGAAATGACCTTGTCGACGAAATAAATGACCTTGCCGATGAATTGACCCTGTCGAGGAAACGCCCTGTCGTCGAAATGANAAAAAAAGAAACGATTATTCTATTTGTTAGGGCATTTGATTAAAAAGTATCCAGAGCTAATTGGCCAAGTTTAGTTGTGGTTGTTGCTCAATATTGCATAATTTTGTCATTTTTTCATGAAAATTATTTCAGAATTTCCTCGTATTTTTCTAGAAAATTAATGAGGTTGGTTGCCTTCTGTTTCAACTTTGGATTCTTACAGATGGATCTCTTCCAGGCTATGAGGAATTCTAGCTTCGGTTGTTTAAAGTGGTAGGATGTGGTAAGCGGACATTCTATTGCATAATGCCACACTGTTCCTACTCCTCCACAGGTACACATATTGTCAGTTGCCACGCAGAATCGCTTTAGATATGCTTTAAAGGGGCCATGCTCTGTAAAGAAGAGGATTAGCTGCCTATTCCATTCCAAAGGTTTAAATGAGACATCTGGTAAAATTTCTCTGATTAATGTTCCAGATTTCGGTTTGTGATGATGCCAGTAGTGTTGCCAGTCCTTTTTAATTTGTGTTTTAGCTTTAAACTTAATAAATGAGTGTGGAACTTTGATTTTAAAAAATTGACCCGTATTAATTGCCTCTTTAGCTAAATTATCTGCTTGTTCGTTTCCAACCATTTACTACATGGGGAGTCTTCGGCAGGCAGGCATCGAACCCACTACTTATTGGACATGGGCCCAGTGCCCTACCAACCAGGCTATCCCGGCCCCTACATTAAACTTTAAAGAAATCGAATAATAGGATGATTTATAAAATTCTTTAGGCTTCTAACTAATTAGCCATTGGAAAAAAAATCGACCTAATGTGGCATAATCAGCGACCTGTATTGTATGGACGTTATGCTAAATGTTAATATTTAATTTTTAGAGGACAAACGTCTAATAACATGTCTTGCTTAATCTAATCTCGTTAAGAGATCTGGGAGGGCAATTACTTATAACAAATCGGCCTATGTCTTTTAATTCTGTGCATGATTTCGTAATGTTGATCAATACTAACTTGATGATTATTTACTTATTTTCCAACCTGTACAAAGAATGTACGCATTCAGCTAGTATGAAATATAGATAAGGACGTACCTCATATCAGGATCTGTCTGAAGCTTCAAATACATTGTCTGATAAGGCATTCCAAGAAAGCGATCTATGATGTGAATCATTCCATCTGTTGCACCAATATCTGGTTGTATTGCAGCTGCTTTTACACCTCCACCGTCAACTGTAAGTGCTGCAATATATTTCGAACACTTCACTACAGTTACAGAAAAAACTTACACGCATGTTTATTAGTAACATAACATGACGTTAAAGAAATATTATCCTACGAGCTGCATGTATAATCACTGAAAAAAAAAAGGTTTCTCGAAATTGAGAGTAAAAACATGTCAAACTAGCTCCGAAACAAATATAGCCCATGCTCAAACTAGCATGCATTCATTTTGAAACTACGCTCACTCTTGTTTAGAAAAATTACTCAAAATGAATTGATATTTTAAAGGCTATGTATTTTGCTCAAAAATGAGAATGTGCAGTTTTGAGTATTTCACTATACTCAATAAAGAGTACATGGTATTTTAAAATTCGGCTGTATTTGTTTCAGAGCTATTTTGACACAGTTTTGTTAAATTTTTAGAATTCCTTTTTTTTACACTGCATAATTTAAAAAATATAAATATATAAATAATTTTGAAATTTGAAAAGTAAATAATTAACATTTGCATACTTATCTTTCAATGTTTTTTCATTGTTTTCTTGGGTAAAGTATTAATGTCATTGATACCACTGACATTGCATGGGTGTCAATGATGCTCATCAACGTATGTACCGTTGATGTATATCTAGACATTGTATAGAATGCCTAATCATTGCATGAAATGCTTGATGTCTTTATGCAAAATGTGAAATATTTGAATTTTTATGCATTTTACCGAGACTTTATATGGAATTTGACGAAAGCTCTTTCCACAATGTATGATATAAAGAATTGCTACACACATTATTTTGTTATTGTACAGAATGTCTAGTCCAAGGGAAACCAGCCGTTGACATCAAAGTTGTGTGACCACAATAAGTTTAGGTTTTTAGTAAAATTCTATATATAAGTTTCTACTATACATTCACATTGAAAAAATAAATGTTGCTCGTTGACCGATTTCAGGGTTGCCAACTTTCTACGCTTTTTGGAAAAACTTCGTATAGTGTTAGCTAAGTTTGCTTTAATGTATTATTCTTTGGTTTGTAAATTTGATTTAAAGTTATTTTTCACACCACTACATGCAAATGATTCAAAAGTTTACATGAAAAGCCATTTCTTCCAGCTTTCTCATGGCTATTCTTTAAAAGTGTTGGCAAAATTACCAAAAATTCTCAAAACCTTAGTGTTTCAGTTTTAAATTGTCTACCACTCTATAAAATATTTTATAAAAAGTGTAGCAGCTGGAAGCCCTGTGATTGGTATTTTAGAATGTAAATTTAAGTTCAAAAATGTACGGAACCCTTGGAATATTCAATATGGGAAACATTAATCATATCGTTACAACCTTTACATGTGTATTATGGTCTTCCCATATAATGAATTTAAACATTCTATAAAATGCTGAATTAGCTACTCTGCAGGATACACCAAAATTATATAACTTTGAAATACCTGATTTGAAAACAGCGATGTTTTGTCTTAATTTAAAAGTTGCCTATCTCTAATGCATAACACTTGGCGTATTATGGCATTATATCTTTCAAATTCTAGCGTTTCATTCACAGCCAGAACTAATAGAAACGGCTCGAACTTTCACATGAGTTTGATAAATTTTTTTTTCAGATAAGGACTCAATAAAATATGTTTTTGTGAGTACTATTATTATTTATGCTGCTTAATTTCTTTCTCCCAATTTTCTTTACACATTTTTTATATTCAATAAACTAAGATAAAATTCTTTTTTGTATACTTGGTTAACTACTTGGTTTGTATACTTGGTTAATATAATACAAAAATGCATAAAATCTGAAAGATTTGCAACAAGTTTTTTGTCTTTGAACAATATTCCTAAAGTCGTCATTTAATAAAGCTGTTTTTGTTTCTTAAATGTTTACAAAGAATTCAGTGTTAAAAGTGCAATTCATTCTGAGGCAATCCATTATTTTTTATTTTTTTATATCCTCAATCAAGGAAAATCATTTTCATAAAAATAAACATTGAAAAAACATCAAAGTAATGTTTCTTCATTAGGAAAAAAAAAATGATTTTCAAGAAATATTTTTCAGAAATATCTCAAAACAGTTTTCATCTTGTTACAGTCAGGACCCATTTCATACATCCACGAACACTACACATTACGAAATAACACTGAGAGAATTCTTTAAGGGAGGTTATTATTTCTTATTTATATTGATTTACTGTCAAGCTTTCGGATAAGCAATGACTACTATCACTCCAAAAAGAAAATAACGTGATAAAGTTTATTGCCAAAAACTATAGTACACCCAGAGGACGGAAAAGCTTTTAAAAATTATCGCTAGACGCAAAAAAAAAAAAAAGTTGAAACATTATACTGAGATTACGCGTCTTTACCTTCAGTTACATTATCTTCAGCGAACACATTTGGCATTGTTCTTATGGTTACACAATTTCATGTTCTCGCCTTTGCTTTATGTTTTATGTTTATTTTATCAGTCCAATCCATGTTCTCTTTTATATTTTTATAATCATCTTTGTTATTTTGTTCATGCTGATACAAAATCAAATTTTTAATGTTGATGCTAGTCCATGCTGCCATTTTACTTCTTAAAACCATTTTCCGCAGGTGTTCTTTTATTTTCACTGTTTCATAAATATTCAATTTACAATTGAATACTATTACAGTTAATGTACAATCAATGTTGGAAGTATTAGTTATCAGAAAAGATTTTTTTAATGAGATATGGCGCCATGTAGCGAATCAATGAAGACACCCCTTCTGTTGCGTAGTTGAAAATCTTACAAGTAAGTAATTCCCTACAGAAAGACCCTGATACATAACACTAGGACACAAGTGGCGTGGCTTTTTCCAGATACTATTTGTTATATATATATATATATATATATATATGTATATATATGTCACGGCGAAAGACCGAAATCGGTGGTTGTTGACTTTCACCGGTGAATGTCGACAAACACCAAATATGTCAGTGAAAGATCGAATATTTCATTACATTCCTGTACATTCGGACCCTCACCGGTATATGTCGACAATCACAGATATGCTTTGGTGAATGTCCGAAATATTTATTATATTCTATTTGATATGAGTTTATTCGTGGATATAATTACATTTATTCGATATTTTAATCCTACACTAAGGTTCTTTAAGGTTAAGTGCCACTGCCCGGTATACATTTGCCCGGTATACCCTACACTGATGTTTTTTTAAGGTCAAGTGCCATTGCCCGGTATATATTTTCCCGATACTCCAAACACTGATGTTTCCTTTAATCTATGAAATATTTACCCCGACCTGCCCCAATTTAGGGCATACGGGTACGTCAGTAAGTATTAAAATATAGAATAAATATAAATATGTCTAATAAATATAATAATATTAACGAATAAACTAATACAAAATTGGGTATAACGAATATTTCGGACATTCACCAAAGCGACTATGTGATTGTTGACATTCACCGGTGAGAGTCAGAAATAAGGGTATTTAGCAAATATTTCGGACATACACCAAGCGACTACGTGAATGTCGACAT